CTTGAGCTGTACGGCTTCACCCTCATCTTCCAGTCTCTTCACTGTGCTTTCATGAAGTGACTTTGCTTTCTGCCTGTCTGGATTCTCAGAGTGCTTTCTGCTGCTTTGCCACCCTTCAGGAAGGACTTCTCTTTCCTATTTCAGCTTTCCTAGCATTGCATACCATGGTGTTCTGCTCCCTCCTCCCTGTGATGCCACCAGTAGGATGCGAGGTGGGATTTCTGAGGTTTCTTGTTTCTCCTGGATTATTTGCCAGGAGTTTTCCTTGAATTCTTAGCGGATAAATGATGGTCCTTTGGCCTTCTCAGAACTGCTGTAGACCTTAAAATGAAAATCTCCTATATTTCACAGACTTGCAGGTCCTTACTTCAAGCTGTGCTGATGAGTATTACACTGTTCTTTTTTGGTCTTTAATTTTCTATGCAGTGTTTCAGCTCAGTCTCTGCTTTCAGCATGCTGCTGGGCACGGGCTCTGCTTTCAGTCCAGTGGTGTCAGCAGCCACGTGTGTGCAGCAGGGTCAGCAGTGCTGTGAAGGCTCAGCTGGTCTCCTTCTTAAACACTTGGTTGTCAGTCTGTGGGAGGCTGGAAACACTTTCAGAAATAGTTTCAGGGAATGGCAGCGTAGCAGGTAATGACTGGAAGGAAGAACTAAGATTATTAGTATTGTTTTTTTGTACCCTGCTGCAATACTGGGAGGCTCAAACTTCAGAAGGAGCCGGTTGGTGTGGGGGCTGTGTGAGAGGATTAGGATGGGTGCAGGGGAGAGGGAAGAGTTCTGTCCCTTTGCACAGCTGGGCAGGGACTAATGGCCATTTGTCTAGGCTCTACCAATAACCCCCCCCTTAGGAAGGGTGCTTTGCCATGCTTCACAAATAAATGCTGCTTGGTGGCACTGCTGTATGCAGTGGGTGTGAGTTCTGCTTCTCATCCTCCAGCAGCAGAATGCAGTGTTTACCTGTGACAATCCCCCCCATGTGCACTTATTTTAGGCCAAATCCCAGAACAGCTTTAATCATCTTAAATTCTTGAGTTTGGATGCCTTCTGGCATCTGTATTTTTAGTCTTAACTAATAAGTGAAGATGCTGCTGCTGCTTCCAGGTGATTTGCCTGGCACACAGACAGCATCACGCTTATTTTGCAGTTGGAGATCGATGGTATAGATTTCATTCCAGTGCTGTTCTGTCTCTGAAATGGATAAGCTACAGGAAATTGCTATTTGTGCTGTTTCACATCTGGTAGCTGTTTCAGGTGGCAGGCAATTTTGATGAGAAGGTATAATTGTGGCCCTGTCCTGGAGCTGCTGCCAGAGGGGCACAGATGGGCTGTGTGGGTTCCTGCACCATAGCCGTGCCTTGCAAAAAGGTTTTTAATGCATTAAAGAGAAGGGAAAAAAATGCTAAAAATTGCTAATGGGGTTTGCTTACACTTCTAGCTTATGGAGAGGTTATTTAAAAGATCAGCAGGTTTTTAATGAGTTAAAAAAAAAAAAACCCTCAAAGACTTTAGGATTCAAGTTGAGTAATAGAGTTTACCAGGCTGTGTTGTGAAGTGTAAATGTGCAGGACTGAGGAGCTGCAGCTCTGCACACCTCCTCCCACAGCTCTGCACTGTCATCCTGCAGTAACTGATGGTGGCAGGGGACTTGTTGCAATGTTTCACTCTCTCTTTGCTGCTTCTCACAGCCCAGAAGCAGGAGCTGTAACCAGGTGCTGGCAGCGCTGCTTCGTGCTGCACGCACTGCATTTACAGGAGCTGCCATGAGGGAGCTGAAGGTAAACAGATCTGGAAAAATACTCAGCGCTTCTGTAGAAAGCGTTGAAATAGTTTTGTTCCTGATAATCTGCTGTTCTGGCAGAGAAGAGAGGTGGTAAAGCTGAGGTTGGTGTGGCAGGGCAGGCGCAGTGCATTGCAGCGTGTGACGCCTTGGTGAGCGCCTCCAGCATCTGCAGGAATGCTGCTGCCACACGGGGTCAGGAGCACCGGCAGCAAGGCATGAAAAGCACCTTTCAAACTCAGCTTCCACGCTTCTCTTTGTGCTCTAAAGCCCTCAGGTATTCTCAGTTAATGTTCATTCAGCTCTCACTGGAGCATGCAGTTGTTGGTGTCATTCGACCCGGTCCCTGCTTGCCGTCCTCTATTTTGCAGAGCTCCTATTTGTTCTTTCGTAGCACAGTGAGCTATCAGTGACTTGCAGTGCTTTTTCCCAGCCTTTGCAATTAAAGGCTCTGTTGAGGCATTCTGAGGTGGTTAACCCAGGTCTGGGTTCTTTGTAGCTTTGCCTTCAGTCTGCTCTTTGTTCTCTGGCTGTCCCTGGTGATTTTAAGAAACTTAATTTGGGGTCCTTTGTTTGTTCTGAAGATGAAACAGTCCTTGGTTTATTTGACAAGGTAATCTTTGGAGCTGAACTGCTTTGTGTCTGCTGAGGAACTTTGCAGTAACTCCACATCCCTCTATTGTAGTGTGGGCATGTCTCAGGGAACTGTTTCATCTTTGCTCCATAGGTTCTGGGGAGCAGCTACGTGTTGTGCCATACATCCCTGCATCAGCTGAGCGACACAGACTGTTTGGGCAATGCTGACATGACTCAATTTATCAGGAAGCAGCAGACAGAAAACTGTCAGGTTAGGGGAAGTGTGGCCCCAAGTGATTGCTGAAAATATCTCAGCAAAGAAGCTGTAGGGAACCCCTGCTCTCGAGCTGCAGGACTTCTGCTGCTAAGTCTCCCCGTCTGTTTTTCTTAGGATGTCCACCATAGCATTTAAACATACAAACACGAGGAGAAAATAGTATCAGGCTTTGAACTGGCTCATTCCCTTCTTGCTTTGAAACGGTTTCCTGCAGGTCTGTACAGCACCAGGCTGTGCTGCTGTGATCCACTGGGGGCTGCACATCCCAGGGCTTCTGCTCTGATGGCCAAATGCCACTTTGTCTCCTTGTGCAGGTGCCACCTCTCCTTTGCCATTCAAGCAAAAATATTCCTCTCTTATGCAGTGTTTTATGTTCCTGTCCTTATAGGAAGAGGCACCTCAGTGTGCAAAAGAATTGTCTCAAAGGAAAAGCTCTATTTCTGGAATATTTAGGCAGGAACTGTGTACCCACCTGCTCCTAAATAACTTCCACCAAAGCAGGCTGTTACCTTTTCTCAGTAGCTTTATTGACAAAGCCGTTATTGCTTTAGTTTTTTGACTTGCAAGGCATTCTCCTTCCAATTTTCTTTATTACTGTGATGCTTTAAGGGCTGTTGACAGCTTTTCTGTCTGCTGGTGGCAGTCTGCTTACCCTGCATTCAGAAGCCAGAGCCTGTTGCCATGCTTTCACTCCCTTCTTGTTCAACTCAGCACAGTGTTGCTCTGCTGCTAAGAGAGGCAGCACAGACCTTCTGCTGCCCTCTGTGCTGTGCTTGCATCACTCATGAGGCTGCAAAGTATGCAGAAGGAAAGCTGATATGCTGTAAGCTGGGATAGGAACCTTTTTTTCCCCTTTCCTTCTCTTGTTTGGGTCACTTGGAGCCAGTTTCCTGATCTGGTTGGTGCCGTGGCACTGTGGAGGAAGCAGGCTGAGCTGCTGTGTTTGGGCAGCAAGGAGCTGCTCTTTGGAGATGCTGGGATGAATGTGGCTCATAGAAGCAGCCTGCGTTTAAAACAACTGCAGACACAGCATCAGCTCTAGTTAAATGAGTAGAGGAACAGCGTGGCTCCTTTCCATTTTACCCAGCTTCTGCTTCCCAGGGTTGTTCCCTGTTGTGATCTGGCTTCGAGGAGTTGCCAATTTAGATTCCTACATTCTTTGACTCCTGAGCAGCAGCCATCTGGCAGTGGGAGCCTGGAAAACAAACCCAAAACACCACTGGGCAATTCCAGCATCAGGCATATGCTGCATCGATGCATTAAAATGTCATCTGACAGTGGCTGTAGTGATGGTGCCAAGAGGATCCCTTTAGGTTCAGTGTTCCCTGACGCTTTCACCCTTGACACTAAGATGCACTTTATTCTTATTGGTGGCTTAAGCTTTTAATTTGTCATCGGTGGATCTGAAATCTTGTCTTCTGTCCTAAGGAGCCACTTAGTGCCTTTCTGCAGCACTGAAGTCAAAACTCATTTGTTCTGCAATTAAACTGCAAGCTGGAGAGGAGTTCTGAACCCAGGAGGCTTCGAGGTGATTGCTGAGCCCTTCCCAGCTGCCCAGCGCTGTTCTTAGTGGTCATTTGGGGGCTGTGGAGTGAGGTAGAGCTGTCTGATGAGAGAAATGTGTGCCATAAGTGTTTGAAGTTGGCCCAAAGGATTATTTGTGATCCAGTACCTGAGTACGAGTGGCGTTGCGTGGCTCCGTATCACACACCAGAGTCCTCTTTGCTTTTTGCTTCCATCTTTGACTCCTATTTCTGGAGCTGCTTCGTACGGCTTTGCTTTCCCTTCTTGCTCAGACTTTTTGTTTTATGGTTTTTAGAACAAAGGCTTAAACTCGGGCTTTTCTGCAGGCCTTTCCTTCCTGCCCTGCTGCAGCTCTCACTGCTGGCTGCTGCACTGTGAGCAACCTGAGGTTTGCATCCTCTTCAGGGATTTGTCTTGTTTTCAAGCGTGATGCTTTTCAGAGTTAACATCCATTGGGGAAATAATACAGTAGAAGATGTAACAGTGGCTAAAAGCGTCTTTCGGATATTACCACCTGTTTGTTTTTATGGGCAGGGTTAAAACTGAACACTTCTGCAATTGGCAGCGGTCAGTTAGAACAAAATGAAGGGCTAAAAATGGATTTTTATTGCAAAATGGATTTTGTTGTGAAATTAAACAGGTGTAAAGCAGCACGGCTTTTACTTTTAACAGTAAAACTAAAATGTATTTTGCTTTTTAAGGTGCTGATGCCTCTTCTGTGTTCCTCAGGATCTTGAAGTTCTTTACACTGTGCATGATAGAGGGCAGCTGCCGAGCTTGCAGATAATTGACTTGAAATTGCTTTGAGTAATTCTGCTTTTCTTTTTGGCTTTTTGTGCTTAATCAGAATTGATGTGACTGAAGTGCAAATCTTCATAATAATCATGCATTTACTGGCAGTGATTGGAGGACCACCTTTTTGGCAATCTCTGGTAATTTTGTTCATGTTCTTATCTTTATCCTTTATTAATAATCTCAGACACCTGGAAGAACCACCTGCCTGCAGCCTTCCTTTGTGAGGGAAAGGCTTTTGCTTCTTCCTGTTTCCTCACTATTAGCACTGAAATGGCAATAATTGCGCACTGGTTTTTACCAGAGTTAATTAAAAAAAAAAAAAAAAGCTTTATTTCCCTTTATTTTGTCATATTTTGCAGGTAGGAAGCTACCAAATATTTCCCATACTTACATGCACCTTCGGTGAAGCCCAGCTTCCTTTGAGTGAGCTGGCCAAAACTTGAATGCGTTTCGTGCCACAAGCTAGATCAGGAGCAGGAGAGTACTGAATTGGACTGATGGTATGGAGGAGAGCTTTGGAGATCAGCTGGGGGCCATCAGTGCATAACTGGGCCTGAGCGTGCTCAGCTCCTGCTTAGGTGATGGCAGCAGAGCACAGAACAAATTGGCCATCTTTAAAAAACAAAAGATCATTCAGATTGAACCTGGGTGCAGGTGGGTCCTGGGGGCTTCATGGGGCTGCTGCTCAGGGGGCAGCTGAGCTGCTGCTGAAGGCAGCGTTGCTCCCATGCTGTGTGTTCTATTGGAGCAGAGTTGTGAAGCCACACTGGGCGTTTGAGTGCATGTAAATCTGCACATGTATGGATTAAACAGAAACAGATGCCTGGAAGTGACTTCCAAAGGATTCTTTTCCTGGAGTGTTTTCCTCCCTGGGCACTGATCATTGTGTGCTCATAACATCCTTCTGAAGGTGGATAAGGGAATCTTGATCAGCCATAAAACCAAGAGATGGTCAAAAATACTGAATCGCATCTCCCCAAATCACTGATTGATTGATTGATTGACTTTTTTTTTTTTTCCTCCCTAATCTGCTTCCTAAAACCCAAGAAAGGAACCCTCTAATGTTGGAGAGAATGTCTGGCATGAGGAGCTAACCTTGGTTGCCTCCATCTTGCTGCGTGTGCTTTTGGCTTGAGCCTAAACACCCCCAGAAATCACACATGGTGCTGCAAAGTGAACGAAGAGCATCAGCAGGGATAGAGCTCTGCTCTACTAAAGCCATGAGGCTGCAGGTCATGCTTCTGGTGCCAGACTTCTCCAAAGCAATTACTGCCACCAACATCCACGCTGCTATTGCTTAGCTTCCCAGTTAGGTTTTCCCAATTTATTCTGTTTCCTTTTCTCCATTTGTTTGAGAAGAAAGCAGAAAAATAACGAGTTCTGCCACAGAACCTGTGGCGTGGTTTGGGGCAGGGTGTAGTTTGGGTTATTGAGGTTTTTTTTCCAGCAAAATCATGGAGTTTGTGAGAAGTGCTGTGTTGCAGCATTGGGTGGAACAAATTCCCAGTGCTGTTTTGAAGTCCAGCAGTGGAATTATGGAGGAATCTCCCCAGAGAGTAAATGCCTTCAGGCTTCCCCTGGCAATGAGGAGTTTTCCTTTTTCTCCTTGTGGAATTGCTGCTATTTACAGAGATAAACACTGTCTGCTATTTGCAGAGCGAAATGTATCACATAAGGAAACCACCCTTATTTAATGTTGCCTATGACAGCAAAGTTGGTGGCTTGGTCTTGGGATTTGTTTCTTGGGGAGGGGAAAATAAATGCAATAAAATGTGTGGTCGTGTGCTCAAACATTCCACTTTCTGATGCTAAGACATGACAAGCAAAACAGCCCCGATTTGCTGAATGCAGAGTTGTGTATTTGGTCAGTTGCTGCTTCCAGGGGCTTTGCTCTGCCAGCTGTGGGTGCTGTGTCAGCGCGGGGCTCTTTCATGGTGTGGGTCCCATTGGCTGCTGCCCACACCTGTCTGCTTCCCAGATCTGTTTTTACCACTCACAGACCTGTGATGGCATCTGGAAGGATCCACAGTGAGCCTGCAGGCCTGAGGTTTGTCTTCTGTGGAACCATTTGCTGGAATTCATTCCCCAGCAAGCGTTCTTTAATCCACTCTTTGCCTGTTGCCACTTGTTTTTATCCACGTGTTTGCTTTTCCCAGCCAGGCCTTGGTTTGCTTGCTTAGTCAGGACGTGCCCTGCTTCAGAGCAGCTCTCTGTGCTGCGTGGCCTTTCTCTTTGAATCAGTCACTCTAGAGATGCTTTTTTCCCCAGCAAAATCCCCTTTTCTTTGGGGCACTTCAGCTTTAATCCCTTGATTCCCATATGAGGCACGCTTGCTTTCCTCCTGTTGGCAGAAAATCCACCTTTCTTAACCAGAGGTGAGACCTTCCCAGGTTCTGTGCCTCCTGGAAGGGATTGCAATTAGCACTCTGCTCTGTGGCAACCTGCCTTTTGTTTGCTAGCCATCCTTCTTTCTCTGCTGTCTTCCAGAGAATGTGTACCAGCAAGGAGTTAACACTGCCACGTTCAGCCCTGAGCAGATCAAGAGATTAAGCTGTTAAGCAGAATAACATGTTAAACACAGCAGAAAAATTAGTGATCCCTATCTGCTAAAAGCTACACCGTGTGCAGCTGAAAAATAGAAACAACCTGACCTGTTTTGGGCTTCTGTGAGTGGTTGGGCTCCTTGCTGCTGGGGCCAGGCGTTACTTTGGTTGAGTGCTGCAGCCGCTCAGCAAAGAGCCTGGGAAGGTTTCAGTGGTACAGGTTGGGTTGGAAGGCGATGTTGTGCAGCTCTGTCTCAGAACCTGCTTCCATGATGTCTTTGCTGTGGTTTATTTGAACCGTCTTCATTTCTAGTTTCTCCTGTTCCACTCAAAACACTGTCTTTAAGTGAGGAAAATAACTGCTTTTCAGCGCTCAGCTTTTCCACTTAGCAGCCCACCTGCTTGTGCTCCCAGGCTTGCTTGACTCTGAGATGACTTGTCTGATCTGTTTGCTTCCCTTGCCCTGCCTGTAAGGCAGCACCCAGCTTCTTACAGGCCTTTATTTAATCACCCCAGTGCCGCTTGCTTTGCCCAATGGTGGGCTGCAGCTGTGCATCTTGCAACCCATTTCAGAAGAGATGACAGATGCCTCCATCTTCCCACTTGCAAACTGGGTGGTGTAGCCAGGAGGTTTCAGTTTCTACCTGCTTGTTGGCTTTAGGCAGTTCTTTCCAGGTAACTGAAGGTGAGTCCCACTTCATGGGAAGCCTAATGGAAGCAGGACTGGGCGAATGCACACTTCTCTGATGTGCTTTGTAGAAACAAAACCAAACAAATAACACTAAAAATGAGGTCTGAGTAGTGGAGAGGGGGGGGAAGAATGCAACAAATGGAGCATTGGAAAGTGGACTGTTTGAGTGCACCAGAAGTATTAAACCTGGCTTCAGTGTGCTTGTGCATCTTTAACTTCTTTTCTCTTTTCCACTGAAGATCCCAATACTGAATATTCAGGTGAAAATATTCCCAGCTCTCTGTACCGTCGCAGGAACCATATTTTCCTGTACAAACTACTTTGGCGTCATCTTCACAGGTGGAGTTGGCAAAAATGGATCCACCATAGCAGTGAGTACTGGGTTTGCTCATTTTAGTTCCTTTCCAGCATGCTGTGACTTTCCAGCCATGGCCTTGGTTTTCATATCACGTGAAGGAAGCATGATGGTGATGCTTTCCGTTCAGTTCTTTGACTTGGGGAGGAAAGTTAAGATAGGCTGTGTAAGAATAGCTTTACAAGTCAAAGGTTTTAAATGTCTGTGTTTAAGAAGGCTGTGGTGCTTTGATGTTTTGTATGATTAATTCAAAAGCAAACAGGTAATAAAAATACCTATTTCCAAAAAGTTCCCAGGCATCCAGTGCAGAAATCCATTCAGAAGGAAACTGGTCAAGCAGACCAGCATGGCTTTGCTCATTCTGAGTAATAATTACGTTACCAGTTAAAAAGTATAGATTTCTGTACAGGTGTCTTCTGCTACAGCAGGCAGTATTGACTGTGAAGCCCAGGGAGCTTTTCAGAAGGCCAGATTAACAACGACTTGCTGCTTAGAAGGCTGTTCTATTGCTTTTTAAGCTTCACAGAGGGAAATCTCTCCCAGCTTCAAGTCAGCATCAGCCCCTGCCTGGGTGATGAGTGCCAGCACGGTGCAGTTCTTGCTCTTGTTGTTCAGCACAGGAGAGGTTTGGCCACGCGCTCAGCTGGCGCTGGCTGGAGTTTCACCACATCTTGTTCCTGTTATTGCTGGTGCACAGCGCTTGCTTTTCATGTGTTCTTAGTTTAAAAACCACACGTCTGCACGCCACGCGAGCGTTTGGCTGGCTGAGATTATTTTACAACGTGCACATTGTCAACTTCATGCCTTAACTTTATCTCACTGCAGGGAACCAGCGTCCTTTCACCTTTCCTTCATATTGGGTCAGTGATTGCACTCGCTGCCATGATCTACAAGAAATCTGCTGTGCAGCTGTTTGAAAAGCACCCCTGCCTGTATATACTTACTTTCGGTTTTGTATCTGCTAAGATAACAAACAAACTCGTGGTAAGTACACCAGAGTTTCAGGTTATTGCAGTAAGACTTCTTGTAACTCTTCAAGTTCTCTGGTTATTCCATCAGCTGACTTGCATCTGTTCTGTGTAGCAAAGTGATAAACACACTTCAGTAGCTTGGAGGTGCAGGGGATGGAACACGAGTTTTCTTCCACTTGGAACGGCAGCAGTGAACATCATGCTGATGCCACGGTTACACAGAGAGTACAGCTTTCAGCCCTGGGTTCTGTCTCTCCATCCATCCATCTGTCTCTCCCCCCTTTGCAGCTGTTCATTCACATCTCTGCCATGAGAAGGACTGGAGAAGAGCTGGCTGAATCCCTCTCCTGGTGTGTGTGTGTGTGTGTGTGTGTGAGAGGAATGTTTGCTGGGGGAGGAGATAAGCTGACAGAGCTGTGGGAGTCTGGGACAAGAGCTTGAGTTGAAGTTAAGCACTTGGAGAGAAATAGTAGTGAGAATCATTTACTGGGTTGTAGCAGGGAGCTGATCAACCGAGTGCTGCCCCACGCTGTCCCAGTTCTGTGGCAAACCAGCATTGCTGCTGTCACCAGGCACCTGATGCATTATACTGCAACGTGGCTTTAACTGCAGCTTTTTTGGCTTTGGGTGAATCACTGTCAGTATGTTAATGTCTCAACTTCCTTTGTTTTTAACTGCAGGTTGCACACATGACCAAAAGTGAAATGCACCTGCACGATACAGCTTTCATAGGCCCGGCTCTGTTGTTTCTGGACCAGTATTTTAACAGCTTTATTGATGAGTATATTGTACTCTGGATTGCCCTGGTAAGTATGGGCTCACCTTGTCTGCAGTGATAACTGATATTTAGTGCTCTTTTCCTCCATGCTGTTGGCATTGGTTGAACCTAGCTGACTCCCCTTGAGGATGGTGGCACTGGGGACCTGCTTGACTGAGTTGATTTTTAAGCAGCCCTTTATGCAAACCGAGGTGAGGAGGGTTTGCTTGGTGCATAGTTCATGTGGCTGTAAAGCAATGCAGCAGATCTTCAGAGCTTTGAGTGTTTTGAAGGTCTGTGATGATGCCATATCAGGAAGGGAATGCGTCATTTGTGGTGCAGGAGCAGCATGGCTCTGCTTTCATCTTGTGATGACAAGTGTGCCCACAGTTACTGGTAGAACGCATTAGGAAAAGTCTTAGCATTAAACTCATCTACATTTTTCAAGCAGTCAGCCATTACCTGTCAGTGTTAACCCAATAAAGTTGATGGCTTACAGTTATTGCTGTTTGGAGCTGAGAGGGGAATTTCACAGCATTTGTGTAGCGAATGGAGTCTTCCTTCCTTGGACTCTGCAGTTTGCATTTTCTATTTCACAAAGCTGAAGGCAGTTCAGCATTCTTAGGAACTGCCTGCAGACAGCATTTGCTCCTGCAGAGTTGGAGATCTTCCTCTTGAGAAGAGCCCAAGGGTTATTTTCTTTCTGAAGCACTCGGGTCGTGTCACAGCGATGGCGTGGAGCTGATGTGTAACTCTTCCTTTGGCAGATCTTTTCCCTCTTTGATTTGCTCCGATACTGTGTGAGTGTATGCAACCAGATTGCTGCCCATCTGCACATCCATGTGTTCCGAATCAAGTCCTCTTCCACTCATTCTAATCACCATTAATAAACGGGGAGCCACCATGGAGGAAAACGGGAAAGGAGTTGGTTTTCTACATGAGGAGGGCAAGATGTGTCGGAGACTAAGGCAACAAGCAGAAAAGAACAAGATCTGTGGTCATCAGTGTTGTGTAACTCTTACTCTTTGTTATCAGTAACACTCCTTAACTAGTCTCCTGCCTGACAGAGTGAATTCCAAGCACACCCTTAGTCAGCTCTACATGTAGTCAACTCTGTTGGTTCCGAGCCCAGGAAAGCATGCAGAGAGCACTGCTCTCTTTGTAATTAACTTTGATTACAGAATAATCTATGTATGGTGAATGGATCCCCAACAACTGAAGTTTCTAATGTAGTATAATTACAGCTGCAATACGACTTGCTTTTAATTTCAATATTTCGTCATCTCTTAGTGAAATACTTGTTTAGTGTCCACTTGAAATTCATTTACTAAAGACCTGAGCTGGTAACAGCAGATATCTCACTAACTTGTGTGGCTGAAGCAGCTGTTGAGGCTTGAGTCCAGGCTGATGCGGTTCATTTGCTGCAGCATTGCTGATAGAAGTGGTTTCTTGGCTGGAGAATACAGAGCAGGGATCTGCAGGAGGAAGGGATGACCAGCATGCAAAATAGTGTGGTATCTTTGTCAATTAATTTTATTTTTTTAAATAAACGTGATCTAAAAGACAACTTACTTCTCAATTTTCTTCAGTGGGAAAAACTTTAAAAAGAAGATTTTACTGTTTACTTTTTTTATGTATGGAACTTAAGCAAAATTTCCTTTCTGCTCTTAATAAATAAGGATTCTGAGAGCAGCAGTTGTCTTCAGATGTGTGAGTTGCTCTGTCCTGTTGGATTGAAGTACTTAATGTTAAGAAGCAGCCACCCTGCCATTTAAAAAGCAGTTTTCTAGTGCTGTAACTGCACAGCGATGTCATTCTGGGATCTCCAAGACTTCTCTGTGCTGTGTAATGTGGTAAGTTGCTCTTTATTCTGTTTTTAATACCAGTTCAAGTGCGGAGGCTGCTGGATTTAATGAAGGGTTGAAACGGGCAGAAGTGAAGTGCTGCAGTGAGTGCCTCGCTGTGGCACTAAGGTGAATTTTGGACCCTGAACAAAGGGCCCAGGTTTGCTGTGCACAGCAGGATCTGCTCTGGTTGCCTGGGGCTGTTGGTGGGACGTGCTGGGAGCCTGGAGGCTGAAAGCCCAGACCTGCCTGTGAGGTGTCAGGCTGATGGTGATGGAGAGCTGGGAACCCAGAGCACAGCAGTGCTTGAGAACTTTCTTTTCTGAAAGGAGTGGATGTGGCGCATTAAAAGGCAGTGACAATAGAATGCTGAACCAAAGCCCTGCTTGGCTGTGGGAAGTGGAAATGTGTATTTCCTGTGGCAGCCCAGTGAGTGGAAAACTCTCACAGGAAAGGGGGAGAAAATTCAGTTTCTCCTCACCCAAAAACCCTTCTTCCATCTCCTGGGAGAGACCCGGCATCAGTTTATTGTGGACAGAGGTGAAGTCTCCCCAATGGCAACTTGGAAACACGGGATGCTTGAGAGAGAACGCAGAGGGAGAAGAGCTCTGGTTCAGTCAGATGTTTCCCTTAAGGAGGGAAGAAGTGGGGCTGGCTCCTGCTTGGGGCATTGCAGGCATTGGAGTGAGATGCTGACTTCTCCATGGCAGCACGTCCAGCTGCAGAAAGTGCAGTGTTGGCTTTGCCTTGGTAGGAAGAGGCTTGCATCCTTCCTTGCGTGGTGCTGCTCACCCAGCAAGCATGGTGGAGTTTGGTCACACAGCCTTCAGGGCAGCAGCTGCCCCAGTTCCAGGTAACTGAGATGTAGATAGCATTCATGCTTAGTCTATCTAAACTGCATTCATCTGGATGAAGGTTCTGTCAGGGGAAGCCCAGCCTCTCACTGCTGCTCTTCAGGTGGTGGAGAAGAGCCTGCAGGACTGGCAGTGCTGGAAGCTGCTGAGTCTTCCCACTATGGGATTCCTTCCATCAGATGGGGGTGGGTGCAGAACTCAGGACCTTGGGAAGTCCCTGCTGAAGCAGTGGGGCAAACAGGGAGTTGTTCTCTTGGTTTTTAGGGTTTTGAGATTAAGCTGCTTTGAGTAACTTATCACTGATGTGGTGAAGAACTGAAGTCTTTAAGGGGCTGTCCAGGTCCAAACAAGCTGCTAGGAGGGAGTCCAATGCCTGTTGCAATGGGGAAATGCACTGTGATACCTTGTCCTGAGCTTTTTGTCAACCAAAAGCTGGAGCAACTTCAGGGATCCCTTCCCATGTCCGTGCAGATCAGGTTTCAGTGTTAGCAGAGGGCAGCATCCTGTTCATAAAGGAACATTACTGCTTGTAACCCCAGCCGTGCAGGGCACTGCTGTGGGCGTAGGGATTGTATAAATGCCTGTAACAAATGATGGAACACATGAACTTTGGCACTGTGCACTGCAGCCCTGCTGTTTGTGATCATAGGTTATCCCAGATATGCTTGTAGGCCTAAAGTTGTTGTAGGAGGTGGAGGAGGAGCAGCATTTACACACTCACGCCAATCTTGTGACACTCCTTTTCCACTCTGTTGCATGCAGAAGATGCTGTAGAGGGAAAAGCAACAGCAACAGCAGCCTCTGTGCTTCCTGCAGCACTGCATGGACCTCACATCCTTCAGAGCTCATAATGAGGTTTCCTGTGAAACCATCGAGGGAAGCTGAGAATGTGAGTTGGTGCTGGACTGCTGCATGCTGTAAGGACTGATGGAGGGGTTCCCTGCCTTCAGCAAGGGCTTAGAGTGGGAAGAGGATGTTGAGATAGCTTGGGCTCTGATTCTGGCTCATCTGAGCATCAGTTGTGTTTCATGTTTGTGTTTTCTTCCTACCCTGCATTCACCCAGTGCCTCTCTGTGCCTGATTTCATTTGGGAATGGAGTTATGGAGAGGTTTAATCCTCAGGGATGAAGGCCACAGCAGTGTTCTGAGGTCAGAGGCAGCAGAGCAGCATGCTGATAGGAGCTGTGTGTTATTATCCTGCACTTATCTGAAAGCACTCAGCAATGGTGACTGTGCTGACTGGTAGGTTAAACAGGCACAGGGCTGTTTGCTGCTGGTGTGACACACCGTAACACAAACCTCATCTTCCACACGGGGCAGCTGTGCAGCAGAACCAAAAGCACGGAGCCCCTGCCTGCTGGTTGTTTGTACTGCTGGGAGCTGCGCTCACAGCTTATCAGAAATGAGCACTTTCCAGTTCAGGGCAACATTTCCTGGCATTGCTTTATTTACTGTTGCAGACTTAGAGCAAAGTGTGAGACAGACCTTGAGCAGGAAGAAGGGTTTAAAAATGCACTGAGTTTTGCTGGTTGGCTGCAATGTGAGCTGAGCACGGCTGCAAGCAGCTGCTGTGGGAGGCAGCCCAAAGAAAGGAGGGGATTTTCTTCAGCACCTGCCCTGCTTTTTAGCACTGGATCTGCTTTCTTTGCTGCTCTTGCTGCACATCCTTGAGGTCCAGGTTCTGGGTGTTACAGGGCAGGGTGTTGTTAAAGCTGTTGCTGGATTGTGCTGCCCAGGTGAGTGAGTAGTTCTATCAGTCAAGCTGATTTTCAATGTTGGGCCAACCCAAATCCAGAAGCTCTTAGTGCTCACAGATCAGAAACATCACCAGTCATAAAGGTGTAGGAAATGAGGGCTGAGCTGTGAGGAAGTTAGAGCATAACCCAAGGGGAAAAAGACAGGAGAAGAGGTGGGGGTCAGGATTTAGGGGCCTGGGGGCAGACTGTGGCCCCGGGTTTTTTTCCTTCCTCTCTCATTGAATCATAGCCCATGCAGTATGTCATAAAATGCATTACATGAGTTACACCTTGCTCGAGGAGCCATTTTTGCACACATCCATTCTCTTTTCAGCAGCAGTCACTTTCCATTGGGCGCTTCTCAGGCAGAAGCAAAGCAGCTGCAGGTTCCAGACCTTCAGGCCAGTGGCGATGCTTCATTACTGAAGAGCTGCTGCCAAAGCAGGGACCACTTCCCTTTCTCCTCAATGAGATGTTATGCAGCTCAGAAGGTCAATGACTTCTCCAAACAACAACGAGAAGGAAAAGTGGGAGAGTGGTTTGTGCAGAAAGGATAACAGCTGCTTATTAACGCCCTGCGTTTCCGCTTCCCCTTCTGTGGTGGGAGATGAAAAAACAAGAAGCACAGCCAAAGTTCACTACTCTTTAATTTCCCATAGGCTGATGGTAACTATCACACTCCCCATGATTTGGGACTTGTGGAGGCAAAGACGACGCCTGCAGTGCCCAGCCCCTTTGTGCCCTGACAAACAGCTCTCATCCTCCCCCAACCCAAACAGAAGCAGAGCAAAAAGTCACCATCCCTATTGCAGCACGGCTGGGCACATCACTGCTCTTCAGCAGCGCTTCTGCTGCTTCTATTTGTGCAGGGCTGCACCCACAGCTGCTCCTCCAACAAATGCTCTCTGCTTCTGCCTCAGTTCTGTCAGGGTCCCAGCAGCTCTGACCCAACATCTGCAGGTGGATCGTGGATCGTGTTATTAAATGTCTCCAGCAGCTCAGTGCCACCATGGGGGAGTGGAGGAGGAAGGAAGTTATAGTAAAAGATACTGTGATGACTGAGATGGGGCAGTTTGGCCACGCAGCCTTGAAGAGGACAGAGCTCTGCCTTCTTCCACACCTCCTGCTGGGAAAAGCCAGCATCTCTCCCTGCTCATCCCTTCTCTCCCCTGGGAAGGTCCAGTGCCAGGGAGGAACCAGGCAGACCTGCAGTTCTGAGTCTGTGCAGCAGCCCTTGCTTCCTGTGCAGATGCATTAGAAAAAGGGGAGAGCAGTGAGGGTATTTTAAGAGTACTTTAAGTCTGCTGCAGGCATCACGCTTCAGTGGCAGCACTGAGATGAACCACAGTGATACAGCAGGGGTTGGCATCAAACCCAGCAGTGAGGAGGACGTTGCCACGTTTTACTGTGAGTTAACCAGCACTTCCTCCTCCCCAGCTCTCCTCTCTGCTGCAGATCAGAGTCCTGTAACGCTCAGGTTTGCTTATGATGTGAATAAGTAGCCTGTCAGTTCATTTCCCCAAGCAGCTGAAGTGGTTCCATGCATCACCAACAAAGACAGCAGATACCAGAATCCTCAGAAACTATTCCATAGGATGCTACCTATTTGCCAAACCTATGTTTGGCTTACTTAGAAATCAACAGTGTTCCCTACTCATCACTGGTCCATTTTGTCCTTTAGCAATGACCGGTCCTGCAGCTGCCCCCCACTTCCATCCATCAGCACACAGCGCTGGGGTTCCCCAGAGCAGCTCAGCATAGGGCTGAGCACTGAGCCATGTTCCTGGCCCAGCCAGGTGGGAGGAGACACCCCAACCCGCTTGTGAGCTCTGTGCAAAACTATTTTCCAGTGCAACGGTGCCCTGAGGGAAAAGGGAAAGGGCAGAAACCGGTGCTGGGTGCTTTCCATGAGTCTCGGGCAGGACAGACCCAGCAGAATCCGGAGTGCTCTGCCCTTGGCTGGGCACAGGTGGAACACACAGCCCTGCTGGGTGCCGGCCCTTCAGGCTGCTCTCAGGAGTCCCTTCGGTGCTTCTTCTGCTGGTGGTATTCTGTTATCTTCTGCTGGAAGTAGGCTGTAGGCACAGAAAGGTGGTTTGGGGTCAGCAAACAGGGCCAGAGCTGTCACAGCTG